ATGTGGGAAGGTGAAACCTGGATCCACTTCCAGTTGGGAACTGGAATCATGCTAATCTTTGTCAACCAGTTAGTAATAAGGGTGCAGTTTGCTCACGTTGCCCTTGTAGTGCAGTTGGTAGTGATGGCCTTTCAAACTGTGATTTTAGAACCTCCAAAGAAATATTGCTGCAATTCTGCTCTTGACAAGAGGTCCATCACTCTGAACAAAAACACAATAGTTCACTCCTGTTAAGAAAAATCCATTTGTCTTAGGTAAAACTACCTCTCTTCCATGTCTTGCTTAACTTAAAACCATACAAAACCATGTGTTCTTTCAAATACTTATAATGGTAAGTGGTTCAGAGGAAAATACGGAGTCCAACAGACGAAAGTATGATTCTAAGTACTGTCATCTGAGAAAAGTTTAAGGGGGCATTTCTTTCTCTCCGTTTTTATTTTCCCATGTTCTAACAGTAATACTTCAAGTATGTAGGAGTTTTATGTAGGATACATTCACATATGTCATCTGTCGCCACAGCACATTATTGTATAAATAAACCCACTGCCATCGAGTTGATTTCAATTCATAGGGACTTTGTAGAAAAGAGTAGAACTACCCTATAGGGTTTCCAAGGTTGTAAATCTTTTCCAAAGTAGACTGCCTCATCTGCAGAGCAGCTGGTGGGTTTGAACCGCCAACCTTTTGGTTAGCAGCTGAATGTTTTAATCACTGTGCCACCACACCTCCTTACATTACTGTATAGGCATCACATTATTATGTTACAATATTATTCTGTACTTTTTACAGATGAGGGGACCTAAGACTTGGGGGAAGAATGGCTTACTGAAGCACACATGGCTAGTTAGTGACAGAGCTGTACTCAGGCTTTCTGAGTCACTTCCATGCTGTTGTTGTAATTCTTAGTTCATCACTTTACAAACATTGGGTGCTATCTGACATGGAAAATTGGAATGTGAGCAATGTCCATGGACCTGCTACTGTCTCTATAATGTACACAAAGAGTCACATGTAATGAGTGTCTTTTCATAATCCTCCTGTTTTTCCATGTGCACAGCAATAAGTGCCCAAAGATGACAGACAACCAGAAAGCTTAATTAGGGGCATGGGCAGCTGTACTATTTAAATATTACAGTGATTTTGTGTCTTTAATATATATTCCAAGCATCACTAAATATGTTACAATTATAGTTTAAACCTCCCTTGTGGCAGATATTTTTGATATTTTTAGGAAATTTCAAGAACACAATCTCATGAGAGGATTATTCTTTTTATCACTGATTCTCCTTTTAACATTTTCTAGGAATCTTCTACTTCTGGGGTCACCTCTGTAACTTATTGGGGTAACACGAAGCTCAAAAGAACTGTAATAACCAATCTCTTATACTTTTGCCTTGTTTCTCCTTTTACTTTCACATCTCTTGCTCCATTTCCTGTCTCGTGTTCTCTGCTTTCTCCCCTTTCCTTTTTAACTGGTTCCCTGATTTTGGCCCAGCTGTCCTCAGTGAAATTTTTACCGGGACTGTCTCTCTTTCCCTTTCTTTCCTTCTTTCTGACTCCCCACTCCACACACACACACACCCTCCCTCCTCCTCCCCAGCCTTCCACATTCAAATTAAAATATGTGGAAATAAGTTAGGGTACTAGTGACAAGCAAGCTCACAGTATTATGTTCCAGAAGGAATTTCTATTCTGACAACCCTTTTGCTAGGTCAAGTTCCCAGAGAAGAAACAACAATCGCTGTGCCTGAGGATCTGTTAGGAGAGTGATGGATGGCACTGCAGTTAGGACTTGGAGAACTGCAGGAAAAGGAGGGGAGTCATTGCCAGGCAGCATGGGGCGAGGAGGAGGTGGCAGGGAGAAAGAGCCAGTCAGGAAGAGCTTCTGAAAGGGGTGGAGAAAGCACTGCCTGTGTATGCTGCTTGCAAGACCTCTCTCTCTGTAGACATTGTGTCTTTGTGAGCTGAATGCAGAGGCCATGTGCATGCAGAATGTATGTGAATGTATGTGTTGCTTAATTCAGATCATGGGTCTATGTGAACTGCTGACTGCAAGAAACAGGAATGTATTGTTGAAAGGATTTTGCAGGCAGAGTGCTTGCTTGTGGTTGTGTGGTATGTGTCACTGAATTTTTGCCAAATGAATGCTCTGTTCTGATTTCAGCTCTAAAGTTTAGTGGAAGTCTGGCAGACTTAGCCAAGACACAACAAACTTAGAATTTAGAAAATAATATGGGGCAACATGAGATGAAAACAGGGGGAAAAAGTTGTTGCTACTAAAGAAAAGAAATGGAAAGGAGATCTGAAGAGGGCATGAGAAAACAGAAGATAAACAATATAAAAAGGGGAAAGAAATGCAACATATTCCTCCAGATAAAGTCACAGTACACCCCTAGATCCCCTGTTACCTGGGTGAGATATTTCTTAGTCTCTTATATTTCTTTCTAAACATGACTTATGTTGATACATATATATACATATTTTACAGGTATATTTTAGTTATACCTGAGGATATTTAAACCTCAGCAAATATCCAGAAAGAATAATTATCAGTTCTTAGAAGAAAAAAAGAGAGTTTTTTTTTTTTTTTTTTTTTTAGACAGAAGGACTATTGGGCATAATGGAGGGACATTCATTTTAGATCCAGGGATTCATTGAATAGGATTTGAGAATCCTATTCATTTCATAGGGTTTATTTATTTGGTGATTAATTAGTGCGTGAGCTGTTTCAAAAGCAGGGACATTGAAATATATCTTCTCTGCACATTCCAAAGATGGTTATCGTTATTACTTTGATGGTATAAACAAAATTTAACAGGAACCTTCTATACCTGGAGTGAGATATTTAATGTATTCATGGTAATTTCTAGATCTGGAAAGAACTTGGGTGTGGGCTGAGAAGTCCTAGTTGGCAATATCCCAATTTCGTGCTGTTGCCAAAACACCACATATTTTTTTTTACTTGCAACCTACAACCATTATAATGTCTTTGTTTCCCAACTCACTTTATTTTTAAAATCCAAAATAAGTAGAAATTATTCATTATATTTCCATTATTACTTTTGCTCCATTCATTAATCTGTCTTTTGTTTCGTTCAGCCATCTTTTCCTCCTTTCTTTCCACTCTTTTCCATTTGCCTCTCTCCTTTGTATCTCCTGCTCTCCATCATGTTTTCCTGGATTTTGATTAAAAATCTCTTTCACTTTTTTCCTCATCTTCTCTCCTTTATTGAAATCATTCTTTTCCAGTGCTGTCTTTCTCCCTATTCCTTTCTGTGGTGTCTTTGTCTCCAGCAGAGGGGGTCTGATGGTGAGGCGAAAGTAGGGAATGAAGCCTAGGAGAAAGCAGGCCAGGAGGGGGAGGGGAAAGTGTTGCTTCAGCTGTTTTTGCAATCAGCCTATAAAAGGCAGACTTAAAGCCAGCCTCTGCACATTCCCTTGCTCCCACTCCACAGCTCTCCCCCTCAATGGTTCTTTCTACATCCCCACCTTAAATTCCACGCGCGCCACCACGCACACTCCATTTCTCAGGTGACATTACTCTCTACAGCTTTGAATGCTAGGGACACTGACCTACTTCTGGTCTCTCTTATTAGTCACTAAACTGATTTCTCCACTAAACCCTGCTTTCTAGGGAACTCTGTTCCAACAAAACAGTGGGTCCCTCAAAACATTTCTCAGTCTCCCACAAGATGGTAATTATATTTTAGTATCTGAAGTTGGAGGAAGTGCATAATGATACACAGCTACTATGATTTTAGCAATGCCTTAAATGGATTTATACTTTATTAATCAAAATAGAATCTATATATATATTTGAAAAAGTAGTGTGCAACGTTAATAAGAATTATTTGTTGAATCTACAGATATAATTTGGCTAATGAATTCCTTTTTTAAAAGTTGTTGTAAATAAACATGTGTGAACTGCTGTATGGAAAGTGAATTTGCTCTGTAAACATTCACCCAAATCACAATTAAAAAAAAATTGTTGTAAATATACATATCATACAACTCTTGCCAATTTAACATTTTTGTGGTGTATAATTCAATGACATGGTTAATGGATTCCTAAATCCTTATTCTAAGGCTTCCGGGGTGCAAAGACCTTGACATTATTGTTATGTAGTCTTTGTTACTTCTGCATCTTTTCTTTTCCTTTTGTCTATTTCTGGAGTCGATCGACTCATAGCGATCCCTCCTTGGGTTTCCAAGGTGTTATCACTACGGAAGTAGATTGCCCAACCTTCCTTCTGAGGAGTGGCTGGTGGGTTTGAGCCTCCAGCCTTCTGGTTAGCAGTCAAGTGCCTAAGGCACTACACTAGCAGAGCTCCTACATTACCTTTAGATATCATTTTAGAAATGTTTGTAAAGGCTGTTAGAGACTTTAACCAAAATAGCAGGCATTGAGATCTAAATAAAATTGTACACACCATGAAGTAGAGGAAAACTACAAACAAAACGAGTTTGTCAGTGTTTGAGGGATTATAACAGGTGTTGGAACAAAGTGATTAAGAGCATAGACTCTGCTGCTTGATCCAAATCCTGGTTCTGCCACTTGTTAGCTGTGTGACTTTGGAAAAATTATTTAACCTCAGTTTGTTCATTTATAAAAAGAAGATACTCAAACCCAGTAGGGCTGCTAGGAGGATAAACGGCTTAATATATATACAAGCTCTTAAAACATTCCATGTTCTAATACGTATTAGGTTTATTACAAGACTGTTGTTGTTTGGTGCCCTCCAGCTGATTTTGACTCATAGTGTCCCCATGTGTTACAGAGTAGAACTGCCTGATAGGGGTTTCTAGACTGTAGCCTTTATGCAGGCTGATTGCCAGGACTTTCTTCTCAAGAAAACCTTTCAATTAGCTGCATAGTACTTAACCATTGCACCGCCAGGGCTACTTATTACAAGATTTGGGATAGATACATAACTATATATTATCCAAATACTTCTGTGATATTCTGCTCATGCCCAAGTCTTCGCTCACTATTTATTTACCTTTAAGCGAGCCAGTACACTAGATACTCCATCTCGGTTATCTGCCCCTTGTCTTAAAAAGTTCTAGGAAACGAGCAAAAGGAATGAAAAAACAGAACAAAACCAAAACCTGTTGCCGTCCAGTGAATTCTGACTCATAGCATTCCTATAGGACACAGCTGAACTGCCTCACAGGATTTCCAAGGTTGTAATATTTACGGAATCTACCACATCTTTCTCCCATGAAGCAGCTGGTGGGTTTAAAGTGCATACCTATTGGTTAGCAGTTGAGTGCTTTAACCATTGTGCCATAAAACCCACTGCCATGGAATTGATTCTGATTCATAGCAATCCTTCAGGATAGAGTAAAACTACCCCATAGAGTTTCCAAGGCTGTAAATCTTTACAAAAGCACACTGCCTCATCTTTCTCCTGTGGAGCAATTGGTAGGTTCCAACTGCTGACATTTTAGTTAGCAGCCAAGTGTTTTACCTACTAAGCCACCAGAACACCCTATATTGAGCCATTGTTGTTGTTTGCCGTCACTACACTACCAGAGGTCCCATATTGAGTCATATGAAACTGTATATTATACAGTCTCCTAGCAATTTCACTGTGTCACTTGCCACTCCTTTTTTTTTTTTTTCTTCACTATCTCATGACTTGGTAGCATTCTGTTAGGACAAAACCCAAATCAAAAAGTGGTGAAAGAGAAGAAAAATCAAGGAAAGAAGGGAGTTTCAAGATTCAGATAGAGTTGAGGAAGACAAATTAACTAGGAAAATATGGAAAAATAAATCCAGCTCAACAAGAAATGTGAGTTTAGAAATTGAGAAAGCAAAATGAATAGGTAAGATTTGAACAGAATAGATAAAAACTGTTTCTGTTTATATGCACCTAAGATAATAACTAGAAGCTCTGGTAGCATAGTGCCTAAGGCACTTGACTGCTAACCAGAAGGCTAGCAGTTCAAACCCACCAGCCACTCCTTGGTAGGAAGGTTGGGCAATCTACTTTCGTAGTGATACTACCCAAGGAAGAGTTGCTATGAGTTGGGTCAGACTCAACAGCAAATAATAACAAGATAATAAACAGAACTCTCTATTCTTCTTCATTGTACCAAGGACAAAAGCAGACCAGGATAATTACTGTAGTGCTAAGCCATTAAGATGCTTCCAGAAATCATTCATTCATTCAATCTTCAAGTATTAATTGACCTTCATTTGTCTCTGGTGACAGAAACAGATCCAAACAGTCGTTGTAACAGTTTGAATATCATTTCTGTGGCTGGATACCAAGTCAATTATGTTTCCCTCGAAGGAAAATGACAGGGGAGGAGGGAATCTTGCTCTCCCCTCCTCTTTCTTTTATTATTTAGTGCTTCCACTATTCTTTAGAAGAGAACACAGTGGTTTTCCATATTTACTTATTCCACTCTTTCATCCTCTATTCTTCCCAGTTTGATATACTCTAATGGACAGAGAATTAGGAGATTAGAAAATGGCCCCCAATGATTTAATTGCCCCCAATGATTTAATCTCAATTTTCTCTATGGTCAGAAGGGACTCTAACAATGTTTACTCAACTTTACAAGGTTGCTTGAGGCTAAAACAAGTTTATAAATGTTGAGTGCTTTTAAACAAAGAACATTCTAGAAATGATTATTTCAGTCTCATTAAAACACTATTCTCCAACTTTCATGTCTCTGAGAGTAACTTGGTATACTGATTAAAAATACAGATTTATGGCTGTTTGTATAGGGTAAGCTTTTGCATATAGCTCATAAAATGCAGGCTGATTCTGAAGGTCATAGGTTGGGGCCAAGGAATCTACATTTTTAACAAGCATCTGAGGTTATTCCTATGTGGTAGAGAAAAAGAAACCTTACTGAGAACCAAATACAATTAAAGAAGGAGGGAGAAAAACCTACAACATCCCTCTTTCTAAATCTTTTCCTTCTCTTCTTGATTCGGCCAATTTACAGTCTTGTGTTCCTTTGCCCACCCATCCTCCTTTGTGTCCGGCATTTTCTTAGCATAGTTAGAAAAGCAGAAATGGAGTGGAGGAAAAGGAGGAGGGGTGTGGGTGGAGAAAGGCTAGATTAGTGTTTAGCTATTCTAACTGCGGAGACTGTTGTTGTCGGTCTGGTTCTAGCCGGCTGGCTCCAGGAGAGGAAGCAGTGGGAAGAGCTAGATCTATTGCAGCTGCTGCTACTGTTCCTTATTTGCTAGTGTGGGTTTTGACATAAGACACCTATCACCTTTTCTCCAGCCACATAAATTTTGCAGTAATCACATTAGATACCCCACAAGAACACTATTTTAGGTACTGATAACCATTGTGGATTTGGAGATTAAGTTCCTGCTTACAATACTCGTGGCACTACTTTGAGGCCTGTCATTTTGATCAAATCCCAATTTATTACTCTTTTTTTTAATGCTGAATGAAAAAGATTTGCACCAGATGGTATCTATGAAAGGAGTCCTCATGGCGCAGTGGATAAAGCACTCAGCTGCGAACTAATAGGTTGGCTGTTTGACCCCACTAGCTGCTCCAAAGGAGAAACATGTGGCAGTCTGTTTCTGTAAAGGTTTACAGCCTTGGAAACCCTATGGGGTAATTCGACTCTGTCCTAAAGGGTAAATATGAGTCAGAATCAACTTGATGGCGGGTGGTTTAGCCTCCTAAAATACATTTCTGTTTGTTAAAGGGAACCTAAGAAGCTCTGGTGGCATAATGCTTAAGGCATTTAACTGCTAACCAGAAGGTTCAAAGCTACCAGCCACTCTGCGGGAGGAAGACTGGGCAATCTACTTCCATAAAGATTTACCACCTCAAAAACCCAAAGGGGGTCGCTATGAATCAGAATCCACTTGATGGCAGTGACTTTGGTTTTTTGGTTTTAAAGCGAATCAATGCAGAACAGAATGGAATACTGCCCTGTTCCTTGTCGTCCTCACAATTATTGCTATGTTTCAGCATACTATTGCATTATTATCCTTCTGCAGGGACTAGTCCCTCTCGATAACATGGCCAAAGTATGTAAGTCTCACCATCCTCCCTTCTAAGGAGCATTCTGGCTGTATTTTCCCAAGTCAGATTTGTTTTTTCTTCTGACAGTCTTTGTTTGACATGCTATGTAGATGTCATTTTATTATTACTATATTCTTATTGCTCTGTGGGTGACTTATAGTTTTCACACGGATGTAGATAGTTTGTTAGTTGCCATCTAATGAAGTAGAACTGCTCCATAGGATTCTTAAGATTGTACCTTTTAGAAACGGAACCTCCAACGTTTTGCCCAGTGGTCAGGGCTTAGCCATTTGTGCTATCCAGGAACTTGATACAGATAAATGCCAATGCATACGTGTAAAATCAGACAAGGAGTTGGTTGGATCTGGGCAACTTAGTTAGGAGAGGCACTGTTTTCATCAATCCCTTAACTTTGATGCACCCTCCTCCGGTATCTTCATGTTGTTATCAGGAATATTGAAAAATGTTTCTTGCTGCAAATTTTACTATCATATTCTAACCAACTAATCTGATTGACTGATTGAAATGGCTATGTGAATTTCCACATTGGCCATATATAGATAGCTCTAACATCTCTGTTGTCTGAACCAGAGGCCTTAGCTGCACACTGGAATGCCTGGATCCCAATTCCAGATATTCTGATATAATCAGAGTGGAAGAGCTGCCTAGGCATCCACATTTTAAAATCTTTCCAGTTGATTCTAATGTGTCTACGAACACAAGCAAACATGTAGAGATATTTTGGTTTCTGCAATGGATGAAGTGGATGTACTTTAATTCCAAACATATAATTTACCCATAGGGTTGGTCTCACCCTTATATAGGGGCATGCAGTAAACATGTGTAACTATTTGCATTACTATCACACATGTTAAGGATTCCATAACTAAGCTTTGGCTGCTACTTCACTATTTTGGTAGCAATTAGCTTTAAATAATAACAGCCAATGTTTCTTGAGACTTAATATCTTGTGCATTACCTTTGCGTTATTAATCCTTATCTTCATTTTCCTGATGGGAATGGGGCTTATAGGAGGTTAACCAATAATCACATGCTGTTAGTAAATAATAAAGTTGAGATTTCAAATCTAATTTATCTTATTTCAGAGATGTTATTGTTGTTGTTAGGTGCTGTTGAGTTGGTTTCAATTCATAGGAACCCTGTGAACAACACTGTCTGGTCCTGTGTCACTGTCAAAATCATTGCCACGCTTGAGCTCATTGTTCCAGCCCCTGTGCCAATCCATCTTCTTGAAGGTCTTTCATTTTTTCCCTGATCCTATACTTTACGCATAATATCCTTCTCCAGGGAATGGTCACTTCTGACAACATGACCAAAGTGAGACACAAAGTCTGGCCATTCTTATTTCTAATGAGCAGTCTGGCTTACTTCCTCTAAGACAGAGTTGATTGTTCTTCTTGGTACATTCAATATTCTTTGCCAACACCACAATTCAAATGCATCAATTCTTTTTCAGTCTTCCTTATTCATTGTCCAGCTTTCACGTACATGTGAGGATACTGAAAAACACTGTGGCTTGGATCAGGTGCACCTTAGTCTTCAAAGTGACATCTTGCCACAGATTTGCCTAGTGCAATATATCATTTGATTTCCTGACTGCTGCTTCCATGGACATTGCTTGTGGATCCAAGTAAAATTAAATCCTTGACAACTTCGATCTTTTCTCCATTTATCATGATGTTGCTTATTGGTCCAATTGTGAGGATTTTGGTTGTCTTTATGTTGAACTGTAATCCATACAGAAGGCTGTATGTAGTCTTGATCTTCACCTGTGCTTCATGTCTTCTTTACCTTTAGCAAGTAAGATTGTGTCATCTGATATCACAGCAGGTTGTTAATAAGTCTTCCTCCAATCCTGATGCTGCTTTTTTCTTAATATAGTCCAGCTTCTCAGATTATTTTTTTAGCATACAGATTGGTTAAAAATGGAAAGGATACAACCCTGATACACACTTTTCCTAATTTTAAACCATGCAATATCCCCTTTCACTGCCTTTGTTCTTTCACAGTTTCCTCATGTGGACAATAAGTGTTCTGGAATTTCCATTCTTTGCAATGTTACCCACAATTTGTTATGATCCACACAATCAAATGCCTTTGCATAGTGAATTCTGGTATTTGCTTTCAGCCAAAATCTATCGGAATCTGGTAGTTTGCTGTAGATGTACCGCTGCAACCATTTTTGAATTAACCCCCCCCCATATATACACCAAACCAAAACAAACTCACTGCCATTGAGTTGATTTGGACTCATAGCACCTCTCCTTGGGTTTCTGAGGTGGTATCACTACAGGAGGAGATTGCCCAACCGTCCTTCCAAGGAGTGGCTGGTGGGTTTGAACCGCCAGCCTTCTGGTTAGCAGTCAAATGCCTTAGGCACTATGCCACCAGAGCTTATATATATATGTATGTGTGTGTGTATATGTATGTACATACACACACACACACACACACACACACAATCCTGAGATGTTTTTCCCCCTGACTAGCTTAAGTCAAAGGCAATATTGTTGTACACATAAGAAATTTTTAGGATGTGTCTGGCACATAATACCAGTACAATGAATGGTATGTAGCATTTTCTTTTTTTTTAATGGCAAGTGGTAAGTAAGCTAATACTCTAATATTCCCCACCACATACAGTCTTATCCAGTGAAGCCACTTTTTCTAGGAGGTACATGGTTACCATGAACTGGGTTCTTAACAGTGAGATCGAAGCAATAGACTAGGTACTATTGTCTGTGAGCTGGATCATGGAAACTCTTCCCTTGGTCAGATTCCCTAGAAATACATTAAATCAGATTTTTATAGTGTTAATATATCTATGATCATGATATCTATGATCAAGTGTCTCTTAATCACAAAATACTTCTCTTTTTAGTCTTAGGGAAGTATACTATATGCCCCTATAGGCTGAATATCAGAGTAGAAATAAATAGCAACATTTTAGTCCTGCAGACCTTACTCTCTTTCTTCTGAAGGTAATCATAGGTATAAAGGTGTATCATATAGTACACTTTGCGCTTTGTGAAAATAGCTCACTAAGCTAGGTGACTCTCAGTGTGATAACATTAAAAAATAATGGCTGTAAACAATTATAATAGCATATGTTCTGTGCCAGACATTAAGTTGTTGTTAGGTGCCATTGACTTGGTTGACTCATAGTGACTATATGCAGAAGTGAACGAAACACTGTTCTGTCCTGTGCCATCCTCATAATCATTGCTGTTTGATCACAGTGTTGCAGCCACTGGTTTCAACCCATCTTGAGGGTCTTCCTCTTTATCACTGACTCTCTACATTACCTCTTGATAATATGTGCAAAATAAGTGAGAGAAGTCTTGCCATCTCCCTTCTCAGGGGCATGCTGGTTGGACTCCCAAGCCATTTGCTTGGAGTATAATTATTAACTCATTTACCCCATATAACAATTCAATGAAGTAGGCAAGTATTTGTATCCTTAATTTTACAGTTAAGCAAATTAAGGTATAGAGAGGTCCACACATAGCTAGTGGAACTAGAAATCCAATTCAGGCAGTCTGGCACCAGAAGCTATCACCCTAGATTAGGCTACCCCTCTTAAAAGACACTAAATACTCCAGGAAAATCCAGAATAAATAAATAAGACTGATGATTAAGTTATAGGGGCAACAGATTGGGAAGAGAGGACTGAAAAGTTGTTGGCTAAGGTGACAGAGGGGATGTGACCTGTAAGAAGGCAAACTGGTTAGCACATCAGGGTATCTCAAATCTGGGATTTGATAGTAATGAATGAGTTGTTATTTGGAAATTGGTCTTTCAAGTAAGGTAGGAGGGTCATCCACTGACTCTGGTTTTACTTTTCATCATCTAGAAAAATTATGTTAATGGTAATATAGCTGATGTTGTTATGTGCTGTGGACCGACTCACATCGACCCCTCCTTGGACCCTTCCTTGGGTTTCCCAGGCGGGATCACTAGGGAAGTAGATTGCCCAACCTTCCTTCCCAGGAGTGACTGGTGGGTTTTGGACCGCCAGCGTTCTGGTTAGCAGTCAAGTGCCTTAGGTACTACACTAACAGAGCTCCTTATGTAGTGGATAGAAATTCATATTTTTAGCCTTCTTTGGACTATAATTTTATTTTTATAGTTTTGTAATTTACATAATGTTCTTAAAGATATTATCTCATCTCATTCTCACAGCAACCCTGAAAAAAAATCGTTTCCTAAGAAACACTTAGAGGAAGTTGAATTAGTCCAAAATTTACACTGTTTTCTAACTTGCAGAACTGGCTGCACCACACCGCTTAAACGTTCAAACCAGTTTAAAGCCCAGAGTGTCTATGATGCAGTTGTAAAATTTGCCCCACATGAGGCTGAGGCATTGTCTTTACCCCGTACACTGATAAAGCCCCTGTAAATGTTAATGGTTTTGTATCCAAATCTTTGCCTTCAGGAAAGGAGAAACCAAGGTAAGAGGATCGTAGGCGGTGGTTAGCAGAAAGGCTGTTCGTAGAGTAGGACTGAACCAGACTGGGGCGCAGAGGCGTGGACACGCAGACAGGACATTGCACCCAAGAGGTTTGGTAGGCTCGCATAATGTTTAAAGTGTGGATGAATGGGCCCTGAGAAGAGAATGTGCTCGTGGGAAGGGTGCAAAACGAAAGGGGCTAATCTCGCGGTTTCGAGGTGGAAACAAACCTCGCTCACCCTCGTCCGTTTCCTTTCACAGCGAGGACGGTTTGGGGGCGGGTGGGGAAGCGCGTCCTCGGAGAGTTCTCGCGCTCCCATATCCCTCTTAGTGCGCGCGCTCCATTGCCTCTTCACAGCCCAAGACGCCGGCTACGGCTGCGAGTGGGGATGAGGGGCTGGGAGAATGGGTCTCGACGCAGGGGACAGAGGCGCCCCGCCAGGTTCGAGAGCCTGGCGCCACTGACCACCTTCCCCAGCCTGTGGCGCTGGGAGGGCGGGGCTGTGGCGCGCGCTGGTCCTCTGCACGCGGCCAGGCGGCGCGCGGCGCCTCGGTCTGGGGGAACGCGGGGCAGCCTTCGCTACCGTCGCGCGCGCTGTGTGTGTGAGCGGCGTCGTGCGCGCGCGCGACAGACGAATGAGTGAGGGATTGAGGGGCGGCTGGGTGTGAGTGTGTGTGGGAGTGAGTGGGTGTGGGTGTGGGGGCGAGGGGGATTCAGACCGACTGCGAGGCTTGCCCAAGTGTACGAAGACGCTCGGCCTGATTGCGCAGCCACGGTCGCTGGAGGAGAAAGGAGGCGGCTCCCGGCATCCCGACCCCCTTCACCCTCTCTCCTCCGACTTCCAGCCCTCCCGGCCGCCTGCGCTTCCCTCGAAGGCCCCAGCCGGGCTCCGCGGGCCAAGAACGAGGGAGGAGCCGCCGAGCCAGGTGAGCGGTAGGACCGCTTCCCTTTCCCAGTAGGGGCGTGAGGCGGAGGCGCGTTCCCCCACCCTCCCCCCAGTGGCGAGTTCGGCGGAATGGACTCTCCCCTCCGAGAGGGTACTCGGCCCGGGGAGGGAACCAGACCGTGCGCGCCCAGGGTTCGGGGCTTGTGAGGGCCAGTGTTCGCTCTGGTGCCCGAGGCAGTGGTGAGCGAGTGAGAACCTGGGCTTGGCCAGTGTGCTGGGAGGGGGTTGGTAATGGGGTGAGCGTGTGACTGGGAGAACTGTGGAGGGCGGCTGCGACCTCGGGCATGAAAGAAGTATGGTTTCCTCCGTTTGTGAGGGCAATGTGGTAACCCTGGGAATGCTTGTTGGAGTCAAAAATAATGGGTTGCTAACCTGTCGTCGTAGAGTGTGGTAATCTCTACTGCCCCTGCTTCCCTCAGACAAATTCTTGTGGTGTGGCCGAGGGAGGAGGAAAATGCTGTAGTGGTGTTCGTCCTGCAGTTATTATGTTTTTAATACCATTTTTCCTTAGGCGTGAGACAGTCATTCCTCTTTTTCTTTCAACAACTTTCTGATAAGACTGAGGGTGACCAAGGATAGCTTTTCTTGTCTTTTTTTTTTTTTTTTAAGCATTTGACCATGATGCTAATACAACCAGCCTCTCCTCTTCAAAAAAAAAAAAAAAAGTTAATGGGGTAATAACTAACTCCATCTTACATTATTTATTGGTCCTTGTCTCTGACATCAGATTTGTAATCCCAATATTTTATCCCATTTGTGTTCATGTATAGAACTGAGGTGTTAATTCTGTTCTATGAACGGGGTTATTGTATTAAATGCATTGAATGTAACTTCGATGTAAATTCTTTCAGTGTGCTGTTATTTTCCCATTAATTACATAAACTATCCCCACACCTTTGCTGAGGTTGGTTTAAATTCTAAATGAGCATGGAACGTATCTGGGTAGCCTTATATAGAAAATTTTTCTAATTTGGTGGCTTCTAATTTATGTACATTCTTAATTGTATAAACTGAAATGAGGTATAAATTGCATTTGTTTTCCTCACAGTATTGGATAGGTTAAAGTTCATTTCTTCGGTTGTTTTTAAAAATAATTTTAAACACCCATTCCTTGTTAAAATAACTGTGAAGATACTCATTTGGAATAAAACAGTCTCTGAAATTCCCAGCACAAAGATTCAACATTTATGTCCTAAAATTTAGTATGTAAACTTCTGATTTAAAAAGTAAGTCATAATTAAATTTGTTTTCTAAAGGTTACCGTTTATTTGGTTAGTGTGTCAAAGGAGAGGAGGCCTATTTTGTTTTAAGGTAATCATTCTTATATTCCTTTCTATCTTGGTTAGTGCTGTTAATTTCCTTCTTTCATGTCATTAATTCAGTTGTTAGTTTGGCAACATGGCTGTTGATGTTTTTACCTTTCTCTGTCTCCCTTTTTTCTCTCTTGTCTTTTCTTACCCCCACCAGGTGCTGGAGTCCGCTTGTCAGGGAGGGGGGCAGTCTGTGATTCTGAGGAAAGATCCAAGAAGGGGAACAGCAAATTCAGTCACGTAAAATCCTCCACACGGTCAAGAGCCACTTTTCCTTCCCGCCTTTCCCCCTGTGGGGGGTAAGGAGCTGAGTATCTAACTTTTAGACTGTTGGCTACCAGCTAAAATTGCACTCATCTTAGTTTTTAATGAATAGCTTGTTTACTTTCCTCATGTTTATATACTCACAGTGCCTGTTGAATATACTCACTTCAATAGTAGCATCTATGAGTTGGATGAGAGTGACAAGAAATTAGCCTTTTTTTCTTTTTCCTTTCTCATTCAGTCTCCTTTTCTCTTAAGAGGAAAATTACCAGTGAAGTCTACCCCTTCTTAGCCATATTGATAAGAAACACACTAAAGTCAACATTCTTATTTCTTCTAACCAGTACATACTAGCCAGGCTTTAGGCATTAGTTTGTGGGGCACAGGGAGAAACATGTCTCTTAAAATTTACCCATTTCCCAATTTGCATCACCTAGGATTTGCTGCTGGGGTAAGTCACTAGATTGATATCCTAAAACTTCTCCCTTCCCTATGAGCTGAAAGACTGATGGACCATGAACACAGAAAGGGGCTGGGGAAGAGGACAGAGCAGATGGAGTTGTTCCACACTTTGGGAAGCAAGAGTAGATTTTATCATCTTCCTCTGGGGAGCAGGCATAGAGACCTAAACTGATTGAAAATGGGTGGAGGAAGAACTTCTATGCCCACGAACAAGATGTGAAGAGTGAGAGAAAACCAATCATAAAGTAAGGAGGGTGAGTTATGTTGTATGTTGCTTGCTGTTTTGGGGGCACTTGAGTGATACGGATTTGTAGAGAGACTTCATTTTATGGCAGATTAGTTTATAAAGAGTATTCTGCAAGAGAGATTAAGACAAGCATATGAGAAAAGAGATTTTGGAAATTATTTTACATTATTTTAAAATTTGAGGGAGGATCACGATAGGAACAATGAAAAAAAAATATTTTCAAATGTTAGCTGTACTGGCATATGCAGTTATTTCAAAAGAGGTTGAGTTAGGGAGGTTAGGTATAGATTTTGGGGAAATAGCTTTCATTGCTTGGAGTTTTCCTCTTTCTCATATTAAAGGTTGTTAAGAAATAACATAGTATCTCCAAAAATATGTATACATAATGTATTTTGGATTCATATGCATATATATCTGTATATATGTTAGGTTTGCAGAAAAGGACAGATTTTTTGGCTTCATGGTAAATAAGTTGTTGTTGTTGTTGTTTTGCCGTCGAGTCGGCCCCGACTCATAGCGACCCCTCCTTGGGTTTCCGAGGCAGTATCACTACGGAAGTAGGATTGTCCAACCTTCCTTCCGAGGAGTGGCTGGTGGGTTTGAACCGCCAGCCGTCTGGTTAGCAGGCAAGTGTCTTAGCCACTATGCTACCAGAGCTCCCTCATGGTAAATAAGGCCCTGGTATTATTTTTCATGTTTTCTTTTCCTGTGTTTTTTCCTATCAAAATTGGCCTTTAGGACAAAAGCCACAGATCAAGCCAGCTCTATGCTGTTAGGGCTGGTCTGCTTTGAACCCTCTGCGTGTATTTTTTTCTTATTGAAGTTATGCTTTGTTTTGCTTTTATCTGACTTTAATCAGCAATAAAACTAATTATTTTGGGATCAGTTGAATGATGCTGATGGGAAGTAAGTAGTATTAAGTTTGTATATCTTTAAAGAGATATGAAAAAATTACAAATTTTTGATAACTGTACTAGATAGCTACCAAAAAAAAATAAAAACTTACTGCCATTGAGTTGATTCCTACTCATAGCAACCCTGGGTTTCCCAGGCGGTATCTCTACGGAAGTAGATTGCCCAGTTTTCCCTTCCTAGGAGTGGCTGGTGGGTTTAAACTGCCAGCCTTCTGGATAGCAGTCAAATGCCTTTGGCACTATGCTACCAGAGCTACATTGGTAGCTATACAACAATTCTGCCTGGTGTTTAATATTGAAAATAACTGGGTTTTTCTGATACTCTTAAAATTGTACAGCAAACTCTTTTTTTTAAGTAACTCTTACTCCTTATCTTCTCAGTCCATTATGTATCAGGGTCTTTGTTAGCCACTTGAGATGACAGCAGCTAATAAAACACATGGATTCTGCCTTCATGGAGTTTATAGTCTAACTAATTTCATTGATCCCTTTACCTTTCATCTGTCAGTCAGTTCTCCCAGCATTGTCCGAAGGAGTCTACTAGATGCTCATGAAACTTGTGCTAGTTTGTGAACTGATGAGTTAGCAAAACAGAAATCTATTTAAACAATGATATATATGCCTGATGAAGTAATGTCTCTCTTTGAAAAGTGGCGACATATCCCCAAGTTGTGATAAAAAAATAACAATCCAAGGTGATATTCCTGGCTTACCTTAAATTTTTTATTTTGTATTTAGCTCCTTATATTCCATATCTTTTGTTGAAGGTCTCTCTCTCCCCTCTATACAGTAGCACTTGGCTTCACGTTCATATAAATTTAGAAGGAGTGTGGAGCTGCTACATAAGATCAGACCACTTCCCGTTTTACCTCTGTTGTTCCATCCTTGGCAGCGTTTTAGACTTTGATGCTTTATTACAAAACTACACCTTGAAAATTCTGCACATTTGCCCAAACAGCTGATTTGAAAATTTTCCCTGATGCTTTGGAGTTTCCATTTATTAGCTTATTTCTTTGATACTAGCCATATCTATAAAACTTTAGGTATAAATAAATTAATACCTCTCTAGCTTCTTTTTTCAAAGTGATGTTTAGAAAGTAAAGTTAGGAAAAAAGCCCAACATCTGTCATGTTAAGTATGATGACCTTTGAGCTATACTAGAAGAAGCTCTGGCAG